TTTTTTTTTTTTTTTTTTTTTTTAGTGACGAATCTGAATGATATTCCATTGTCTGAATCTACCACAGATTATCACTCACCTACTGAAGGACATCTTGGTTGCTTCCACATTTGGCAATGATAGATAAAGCTTCTACCAACACCTGTGGTTATAGCATATATATAGCAGTTTATGGCTACAAACTTTTATGTGCATATAAGTTTTCAACTTCTTTGGGTAAACGCCAAAGAGGGCAATAGCTGGATTGTATGGTAAGGGAATGTTTAGGTTTGTGAGAAACTGCCAACCTACCTTCCATTCTGTATTCCCACCAGCAATGAGGGAGAGTTTCTGCTCTTCACATTCTCACCGGCCTTTGGGTCAGAGTTACTGACCTTGGCCATTCTAATAGGTGCATAGTGCTGTCTCGTTTTAATTTGCATTTCCCTGATGACACATGATGTGGAGCATCTTTTCATGCACTTATTTGCCATCCATATATCTTATTTTGTGAGGTGTCTGTTAAGGTCTTTGGGGTCCATTTTTTAATCTGGCTGTTTTCTTATTTTGAGTTTTAAGTGTTCTTTGTATATTTTGGGTTACTGTATTTTATCAATGTGTCCTCTGCAAATATTTTCTTCCAGTCTGTGTTCTGTCTCCTCATTTTCTTGACATTGTCTTTTGCAGAGCAGGAGTTTTAAATTTTAATGAAGTCCAGCTTATTAATTCTTCCTTTCTTGGGTTGTGCCTTTGGTGTTTTATCTAAAAAGTCACTGCCATATCCAATGTCATCTAGGTTTTCTCCTACGTTATCTTCTGGAAGTTTTATGATTTTGCCTTTTACATTTAGGCCTGTGATACATTTTGAGTTAATTTTTGTGAAGAGCGTTAAGGCTCTGTGTCTAGACTTTTTTTTTGCATGTGGATGCCTAATTGTTCCAGCACCATTTGTTGAAAAGACAGGTTTTGCTCCATGGTATTGCATTTGCTCCTTAGCCACAAACCAGTTGACTATGTCTATTACAGGCTCTCTTTTCTGTTCCATCGATCTACTTTCTTTTTCTTGCCAACCTGCTCTGGCTCGGTCTTCCAATACTATGTTGAATAAAAGTGGTGAGAGTAGGTATCCATGCCTTATTCCTAATCTTAGAGGAAAAACTTTCAGCTTGTCACAGTTGAGTATGATATTAGCTGTGGGCTTCTCATCTATGGCCTTTATTATGTTGAATATGTTCCCTCTATACCCACATTGTTGAGAGGTTTTTAAAAATCATAAGTGGATACCGAATTTTGTCAAATGCTTTTTGTGTATCTATTGAGATGATCATATGATTATCATCTTTCGTTTTGTTAATGTGTATCACATGAGTTGATTTGTGGATGTTGAACCACCCTTGCATCCCTAGAATAGCTTCCGCTTGGTCATGCTGTATGATACATTTAATGTACTGTTGAATTTGATTTGCTAATGTCTTGCTGAGGATTTTTGCATCTATGTTCACCAGGGATATTGGCTTGTGGTTTTCTTTCCTTGTAGGATCCTTGTCTGGCCTTGTTATCTGGCTTTGTAAAATAAGTTTGGGAGTAGTCCAAACTTANCTTGTCTGGCCTTGTTATCTGGCTTTGTAAAATAAGTTTGGGAGTAGTCCCTCTTCTATNGTACTGTTGAATTTGATTTGCTAATGTCTTGCTGAGGATTTTTGCATCTATGTTCACCAGGGATATTGGCTTGTGGTTTTCTTTCCTTGTAGGATCCTTGTCTGGCCTTGTTATCTGGCTTTGTAAAATAAGTTTGGGAGTAGTCCAAACTTATTTTTAAGTTATTTTAAAATTGTTTTTACTATTCTCATTACCAATATTTGAAAAGACTTGAATTAACTGCTTTCTTATCAGCAACATAGCAGTCACGGTTCTTATAACAATAAATGGCATCATTATAAAATGAATGTTTAGTGTCTGAAAATAATATAAACCACTTTCTCTATGTTCTTTCATGGGACTATACGATGTAGTATATTTATTTCTAATTCACATCGCCACATCTTCTCAGACGAGATCGGGCCCGTTCAGGGTGGTATGGCCGTAGACGCCACATCTTTTCAGAGGTTCATGAGGTCAAAACTATTTTTATAACAGCACTAAGACATGCATCTGCCCTTTTTCACTGTGTTGATATTTCCACTCATATAAAACTCTGTAAGGTAGCCATGGCTGGTGTGGTTCAGTGGTTAGAGCGCCGGCACAGGCATCAAAGGGTCGCAGGCTCTATTCCTGGTCAAGGGCAAGTATCTGGGTTGCAGGTTGTTTCCCTGGCCCTGGTCAGGGAGTGTGTGGGAGGCAACTGATAGATGTTTCTCTCTTTCTCTCTCTCTCCCCTCCCCTTCCACTCTCTCTAAAAATCAATGGAAAAATTATCCTCAGTGAGGCTTAACAAAACCAAACCACAAAAACCAAACTCTGTGAGTTGAAACTGCAGAAGCCTAAACATAAATCAAGGCAGT